GAAGATGGACAAGGAGAGGGAGTGTGAAGGCGTCGGGAACAGCTCTGGTCACCGGGAGAGAGTGGTCAGATTCAGCACTGGTGGTCTGGGGAGGAGGACTGAAGCCTGGTGGGAGGGAGGAGTGAAGCGGGCCTTAGGATCCTGAGGGTGTGGGCGCAGTGATCCACTGCTGGGGGGTCCTTCAAGGGCAAGGGGCTGCAGAGCGAAGACTGAGAGCTCATTGTTCACGATGAAACTTAGACAACAGCTTCCCCAGCCTTGTTCAAAAGTCATCACAGCCTTTCTCCATCTCCACATGGGCAACAGGAAGAGGAAAACTTATCTCTGGAGATATGTAGATGTGTAGTATCTCCATAAACTTCTCCATGTCCCCTGACTGAATTCCTATTTGGAAAAAAATGCACTTCTCCAGTTTTACATTGACATCTCTCCACTACAAAAAAGTTCCAGAATGAGAAAGATCCTGCCTCCCTGGATTCCCACTGGTGAGGATCTCAGCCTTCAAGACAACCGGAACTAAAGTGCCATTCATGCCATCTCCATGACAGCTTCATGGCCGCCAGGCAGCTATCTTATGGGTTTGGCCACACACTGCCTGTCCCTAACATTGCACGCCGCGCGACACTTACATGCTGAACTCATGGCTGGGAGATCTGGGGTCCAGCAGTGACAGAAAAAGGAAAAAAGACCAGGATCTCTGCTAAGTAGCCCACTGTGTGAATCACTGCACCCTCCACCCTCATCTTTCAGTTCGTGATGGGTGTTGTCTTGTGAAAATCTGACAGGCTGGGCAGAGACATAACAAGAGAGTCTCTGGGACCCACCAAATCTCCATTCTTGGGCTTCTCTGACCTTTCAAATATTCTTTTCCAGATCCAATTCCGGGGCCAAGACACATCCATATTCATCAAAGGAGGCATTGATAGGAGTCAGGCAGTCTCAGGAGAGACAAGAAGCAGATAAACACCTCATGTGCCTCCTAGCTCAGAGGAGAAAAAGAAAGGGAAAGAGTTCAAGAAGAGCCACACTAGAAGCCCACTGATACACCATCACGCTCAGGCACCTGGGTCCTCCACTTGCCCTTTTTCAAGTGAGACCAGACTCAAGGGACGCACCTAGCACGTCCCTCTCTTGTCCACACCACTGCACAAGGGAGCCTCCCTTCTGCTTATCTCAAGGCGCTGTTCCACCAGGGTCAACCCATGTCCACTGCTGAGAGTCTTCTCTCAGTCCTGGTCCCCAGGGTTCTGCGGTGATTCAGCAGGCAACCTGGGCTTTGACTTCTTGCGGTGACCCTTGCCCCTTCAGTGGCCACAAAGCCAAATATTAAAGCCATAACTGGAACTCTCCTAGTTTACACAAACCTTAGATTCTCCTTTCTCAGGGTCTGTTCTAGAAGAAGGTGCGTGTCTCTATTAAGTCATTTTTCAT